CATCTCAACCGATTTTCTACCATTTTTTCCTCAATAGGTGCCACCCTCACTTTTTCGCGTATGTGCTCATTTCGAATTTTATCTTTACGTGTATGTCCGCACATCCATCGTAACATTCTCATCTCTGCTACTCCAACTTTATGCTCTTGCTGTCCCGTTAGAGCCCAGCATTCACTACTATATAACATTGCCGGTCTGATAGCAGTACGATAAAACTTTCCTTTAAGTTTATTAGGCACCTTACGGTCACAAATAACTCCTTTAGCTTTTCTCCAATTAAACCACCCAGCTTGAATTCTATGTGAAATATCTCCACTGATTTCGCCATCATTTTGAATAATGGCTCCCAAATATCTAAACTTTTCACTTGAGGTATAATTTGATCTCCCAATTTCACTTCCAAATTATTTTCGAATAGTCCTTTACCAAATTTACAATATAAATATTCCGTCTTACTTCTACTCAGACGAAAACCTTTCGACTCCAATGTCCTCCTCCATAACTCAAGTTTGCAATTAACCTCTTCTCTTGTCTCTGCTATAAGAACTATATCATCCGCGAAGAGCATACATTTCGGGATTTCCTCTTGAATATGTTCCGTCAAAACATTTAAAATCAAGTTAAACAAATAAGGACTCAGAGATGATCCCTGATGTAGTCCAATCTTTATAGGAAAATCCTTTGTTTGACCACTAGGCGTTCTTATACTAGTTTTTACCCCCTCATACATATCTTGTATGGCTTTAATATAAGCAATCCGTACTCCCTTTTTTTCCAACGCTTTCCAAAGCACTTCTCTTGGTATACGGTCATAAGCTTTTTCCAAATCAATAAAAACCATGTGTAGATCTTTATCTTTACAACGATACTTTTCCATTAATCCCCTTAGTAGATAAATCGCCTCTGTAGTTGATCTACCTGGCATAAAACCAAATTGATTCTCAGAAATACTTGTCTCCAATCTCAACCTGTGCTCAATTACTTTCTCCCACAATTTCATTGTGTGGCTCATGAGTTTAATCCCTCTATAGTTAGTACAATTCTGAATATCTCCTTTATTTTTATAAATAGGAATTAATGTACTTCTCCTCCACTCATCAGGCATTTTCTTGGACCGTAAAATCACATTAAATAACTTAGTTAACCATCTCACCCCTTCTTCACCTAAACATTTCCACGCTTCGATAGATATACAATTAGGTCCGTTGGCTCTACCATTTGCCATTTTCTTAAGAGCTTCCTTTACCTCCTTATCACGTATTTTTCGATAGAATGACAAATTTTGTTCTCCTTCACCAGTTACTAAATCCTCCAAGTTACTAGATGAATCCTCTCCATCATTGAAAAGTTTAGAAAAATAAGTCTCCCATCTATTTTTAATTTCATCATCTGTAACTAAAATTCTTCCCTCTTCATCCTTAATACACCTTACCTGTTCTAGATCTCTTGATTTTCTTTCCCTACTCTTGGCAATCTTATAAATATTTTGCTCTCCTTCCTTCGTCTCAAGGTTCTTATAAAATTCTTCAAAAGCTTTAGAACGAGCTTCACCCACAGCTCTCTTAGTTTCCTTCTTAGCCATACGGTACCTCTCCCAATTTTCCTCATTGTTACACAAATGTATGGCTTTAAAACAGTTCTTCTTATACTTGATTTTGTCCTGTACACTATTATTCCACCACCAAGACTCCTTATCTCTCGGACCAGAACCTTTCGATTCTCCCAAAACTACTTTTGCAACCTCCCGTATCTTTTTAGCCATATCCTCCCATATAATGTTAGCACTTCCCTGAGAATCCCAAATTCCTTTATCCAAAAGATTTCGCTTGAAAATATCTTGCTTCTCACCTTTTAATTGCCACCACCTAATCCTTGGTGTTACTACTTGTCGACGTTTTTGGATTTTACTCATAATACACACATCAAGGACTAGGACCCTATGTTGTGTCGTTACAGCATCTCCGGGTATCACCTTACAATTTTTACAAAGTTTTCTATCTGTGTTCCTAACCAAAAGAAAATCAATCTGCGACCTTGAGGCTCCACTTTTGTAAGTGATGAGATGCTCATCTCTCTTCTTGAAACAAGTGTTGGCAATCTTAAAATCATACGCCAATGAGAAATCAAGAAGAGTTTGTCCTTCATTGTTTAGCTCTCCAAAACCAAAACCACCATGCACCCTCGCATACTGACCAGCTTCCCTCCCGACATGCCCATTAAAGTCTCCTCCAATAAAAATCTTTTCACTCTGTGGTATGTGTCGAATCAACCCCTCTAGATCCTCCCAAAATAATTCCTTAAGACTGGCTTCTGTCCCGACTTGCGGCGCATAAGCGCTAACAATATTAACAGTCTCACGTCCAATTATCATTTTTAAAGAAATAATTCTATCTCCAATTCTGCTAACTGCTACAACGTTCTTCTTCCACTCCTTATCTATAATGATGCCTACTCCATTGCGTGCACTTACTTTTCCTGTATACCAAAGTTTGAAACCTTGAATATCCTTAGCTTCTTCTCCACGCCATTTTGTTTCTTGCAAGCAAATGATATTGATTTTCCTTTGAATCATAACCCCTACAACCTCTACAGATTTACAATTTAATGTCCCAACATTCCAAGTACCAAATCTAATTTTGCTCTTATGGACTAACTTCTTTAGCCGCGTGCGTCCAGAATGACGCGGTAGCCCTTGCTCATTTAACACTACATCCGGGCGCCGATGCAGCGGCTCTAACTCACTTATCACTGTACTCGAGCCATGCAGCGCGTTACTTACGGGCAACGACCTAGCATTAACATTATAACGTCTATTGTCCATGTTCATGATAGATTCAACAAATTTTTACATTGGCTGTTGATGGCCTAACACAACCCTCCTCCTTTACCCGGGCTTGGCTATAAACATAGGCGGAGTTTATTCCATATTAAACATAATTTTAAAACTTCATTCCCACTTCTAATTTCACTCCTAATCTCAATTTCAATCTCAATCTCAATTCCAAGCCTTTTAAATTGAGACCTGTGTACCAAATAGGGCCTTAAGTTTCAACAAACCTTGGGCTCCTGACAGGCAATATTTGCTAAATCAACCTTCATTGATCAACTCGGAGGCACCAAAAATAAAACAAGGGAATAATACTATGAACTGAAGAACATAGGTTCATGCCTGCATTGAAGGTTTCTCAATTCCATTTGATTTTTCTGATTTCTGTTTTTAAAAATTATTTAAAATTTTAAAACTCATTTGGATAATTTAAGTGCTTCCAAAACTGTTTCTTTTTTTATTTTTAAAAATAAAAACATTTGTTCTTAAAGCACACTAGTTGATTATTGCAAATTATGGTGACCATCACCCCCATTAGCCAATTCTTTAACTCAGTATGTTCAAATTAACATAATCCAAGAGATTTTTTTTTATTTTGCTTTGAAAAATAATTTCTAAAAATGGTTTATGAAATAGTATTTAAAAACAAAATTGGAATAAAATCAAGCAAGCCCTTTGCTTTCTTGTTTTTGTCTTCTTTATCATAAATGTCCTGATTTATTTTTCTTACCTTCTTATTATAGGCCATTTTTGATAGGATTGCAAATATATGGGAAGTGAGATTGGAAGAACATTTCCAATTATGTTTTGCGGAAAAGGACGCCAACGAAGATTGTCAAGCCATGCTCAAAAATTCTTTGATCGCCATGCTCATAAATTCTTTGATCACCAAGCTCACAGAGGGTACAAGAAGAGAGAAACAAAAAGCATCCACGATATCACCGATCCTTATCTTTACCTCGAATCCACGATATCACCGATCCTTATCTTTACCTCGAATCTCAGCATCAATATCACACACACAACATTACTTTTTCTCGTATCAATTTAGTGAACTAATACATGCTATGATGTCTGCTTGTGCCCAATACTTGCATTGCATCTTGCTTTCCCAGAAATCTCTTTTATCCTACTAAAAGGGTGCAATTTGAAGATGGGCCCAATCTAATGACGGCTTATTGTAAAACAGGGATTATGCAGCATTAGAGAGGTGAAACTATCAATGAATCTAACAGGGACCTTTGACAGAACCCCAACCTAAGACTTGGTGAGTGTGAATGATATAGGGAACTTGTTGAGTGTTGGGGAGAAACATGCACACTGCTGGAAGCTACAAACAAACCACAACAGTATGTGTTCATGTCAGTGTCTTTTACTGTCTTTTGATAATGCTAGAGAATATGGAGAATGAAAAGAAAATGAGAATTGCTAGCAAATGATAAAGTCCTAGATAAGAATGTAAAACACACTAGAACGCCCTGTTGTTGCTCCTTTATTCTGACAACGTCTAGGGTTATCACAATCAACTCAAGAGAATAGATTTAAATTACAAGAGGAACTTACACAGTAGAGTTAACATGCCATTTAAATTTTTATCTGGTTGCTTATCTTAACAGAGCAAATAACAGAACAATGCAGTCAGATGGGAGTACACCCAAAAAGCATATATTGACAGTTTTAGGATCTATCTCATGCCTTCTAGTCAAAACACAAGACTAACCAGTAGTTTACTTCGATATACAGCTGCAAATATATATCATCAGTTACAGTTTGCCAAACTTTGTCATCAATTTTAAATCTAATAAGAACGCACCTCCTCTCATTAAAGGACAAGGGATGCAACAAATATAATTTTAACCAAAGTGTGTTTCAGAATTCAGACCTCAGCACAAGTCAGAAAATGTGCCGAGGTTGTTGTTGAATCTGCAATAGATGACCTGAGCAATCAAAAATAGAAGCCTATTCTTTGGAGACGCCTATCCCCATAGAAATCAGCATAGAAGAACAAACACAAGCATGAAAATGAAAATTGTTCAAACTTGTTCCTTGATTTTCCCATTGGAAGTGGAACTTGTGTTGTACTGGTTTCTTGTAGAGTTAATTATATCGCCCCTATCCCACTAATTTATATATATATATATATATATTAAAAAAAAAAGCATCACAATCGGTGTCAACAGCAAAAAATATCTAAAGAATGTAACGCTGATCAAACAGAGTCAAGTTTGTACGGAATACTAATTACATAGACAAGTAAGTATATAAAATTCATTTCTCCACAACAAAATGACTTGAAAAAACCAATTACTCCCGCATAACCCAAACGCCCAAAACTAAATTATTACATATCCATATCTGAAAGAAGGCAGAACTACTTGAAACTCGATACTATATATTGTTGAATATTAACATTCATCATTCTACATAACATCTCGAAAGGCCATCAAGGATTCCACCAAAAGTGAGTAGCAAAGTAAATCTACAAGGTGATATCTAAGATTTAGGATCTAGGATCTTCAACTTTATAAACCGGCACAAGGCTTTCCACATAATTAACAATATTAAGAAAACAACGGCGGATGAATAGGATTTCAAATTCATTGGTGGGGAGCAGGTGCAGAGATAGAAGAGTCTGTAGTTCGTGATTGTCCATTTCATCTTCAGATACATAGCAGACAATATTATTCCTCCAGAGAGTCACTGGATCTAAATAGAATGGATAGGTGAGGCTCCTATATTTCTTAGTCCAACTCCATCTCTTTCCTGATGGCTTGCACACTCCTCCATAATCCACAAATCAAAAGAAGAAGATTCAGATGTTCCAATGTAAGGGAGATTAAGGACAGCTAGTTTGTTGTCATAAGCAGTAAGCTTAAAAGCTGGACTTGAATCAATGTCTACAGCAGGACAGGGCATCAAGGTGAACACTTCTGTAGCCATGTCAAAGGAAACAACTTTATTACCGTCTTTATCCCCTCCCCCCACATCTAGCTTTATTCCAACCCAATACATAACCCCGTTAACAGTGACAGTTTCCTCCAAAAGAGTTACACGCTCTAAGTTACCCAGTTCTATTTCTTTCCATGACCCTGTGCTTAATGAATACACTTCCACTTGTTTAACCCCTTTATGAAACCGAGCAGCATAAGTTTTCACTATCTTGTAATCTTTAACAATGGGACTAAACCCAAATCCAAAAGAGTAATAACTCTCGAAATCTTTAATAGTTCTGTGCACCTCTCTTATCTCTCTAATCGCTGGATTCCACAATAAAACGGAATGATGAAGCGTACGATACTTACCTATTTCAACACAGAGCAAGCCATGACTGGAACAGATGATTTTAGCATCAGACAGGTCATCCATCTTCTGAAATTCAAGGAATTGCGTCGGAAATTCAAGGAGTTGCGACTCACGATCGAGCAAATATAAATGCATAGAACCATTTCTTCCAATCCGTTGCAAAAGAAGAGAAGGGTTTTGATGACTAAAATGGTGGAGGTGGTCTGCAATGAACGATGGAGTCTTGATAAGATTTTTCCACTGTTTGCATACACATTGAAATCGGATTAGGGTTTTTACGGGAAGTCGTATGAGAATGCTTGTGATTATTTCTTGGGGAAGAAATGGGGTGTCGCCGCCGTCCATTACCTTCTGCTCCATTGCGCTCGTCGCTCGACCGGGAAGAACGAAATTCTCGCAATCATCGAAGCAGAGATGACAGTGGTCCAATATTTCCGGAAGAGTTTTTTTTTTTTTTAATCAACAAATCAAATTTTTGCCTGAGATCAACGTCCCTAGATACAAAAAAGGATCCGACTACAATACGTGGAGTGGTTAAGTCTGAAAAGATTCGGGACGTTTGAAAATTTATTTTAAAAATAATTTTTTATTTTTTAAATAAAAAAATAAAAAATTTATTTGATAACATATTTTTTTAAAATATTTTACAAAATAAAAAAATAAAAAATAATTTTATAAAATAAAAAAATGAAAATAAATTTAAAATGTTTTGAGATTACTGTTCTAAAAAACAAAAAACAAAATAAAAAACACTTTTTTTATTTTTAAAACATATTTTATAAAACACTAATTTTTAAAATAATAAAATAAAAATAATTTTAAATAACTCTTTAAAAACGGGCCTTTTGATATTAAACATTTTTAATGGTTGGATATATTCAAATGAGCTTCATCAGGTTTAAGTTTGGTCTAAGCAATAAAATAAAATTATTATTTTTTAAAAAATATATAAATATATAAAATATTAATTAATTTTTAAAATTTTAGTCCATTTTATGTTAAAAGATGGCACGTTTGAATACCTTATTACAAATATTTTCTTAACAAATTTAAAAATATTAATATTACTTTATTTTTTTAATCTATAAATTTCTTTAAAATATTTAAAATATATTTTAATCTTGATTTTTAAAATTTAAAACCCACAAATTTTTTTAAATTTCAGTCTTCTAATTTTTTAAGTATTTAAAATGTATATTCTATATTTTTTGATAATAATAAAAATAATTTATTTTAGAATATAGATTAAAATTTGTTTCAAAAAATAAAAAAATTAATAATTCAAGTACATAGATAAGTCTAAATAAGCGTAAAACTTAAGAATGTTCAAATCAAGCTCAACTATATAAATTTTTTATAAATTCAGCTTATTCAAGTCAATATGAATAAGTCTAGCCCACCTAAATTAGTGACTCTTTATTACATAACAATGAAATTTTATTCAAATATCTTTAATTATTTATTCAAAGTTTTCTCTTAATTTTCAAATACATTTTTAGTTTACCTTAAGTAATCACTAGCATAAAAGTTTTTTCAACAGGAGAATATTACTTAAATACCAAAAATTTAATTTAATGATAATCATACCCCCAAAAATTTAGGTAGCTTTTGAATTGATGAATTTAAATTTTAAATTTTAAATCTCATATTTAAAATTTATGTATTAATTATTTTGTTCATGTAGTTTAAAAAAATTCAAACAAAGAAGATAAATGAGTTGATTTTCAAAAATAAAAAATAAAAATGACAAGTTTATTCATATTTATCAATCCACAAGAAATAAGAAAATATACAAGAATTATAAATATATCAATATTAAAAATGGCAAAAGAATTATATATTTGAAGTAATTAAAATTTTAAATGATTAGTATTGAAATAATTTTAAATTACAAAGGAATTATTGTAAAAAATAAATTTAAATGTAATTCATAAAATTTTTTATGTATCAAAATAAAGCATTAGGTCAAAAAGCAAGTTTTCATTAATTCAAATACACCATAATAAATTGCAAATATTTCACTTGAAGTTACCAAGACTTAAATGTTTGATTTAAAATCAGTGAACAAGAAGTGATGAGGTTATGAGAAAATTATCCTGAGTTTGATTCGGTGAAAACAATGGTCCTGAATGAGAAAGCCAAAGGTGTTGGTCAATGTGAATTCAGAATATTTAGTGTGGTGTGATGTTTTCAAGCCTATTATTATCATGAACTTGCTTTGAGTATAATAGCTTCTATTGTATTGAAATTAAGGAATGTGAAGGACGAATAACTAATCCAGGAAGTGTTGCAGGTTTAATGTTTTGATGCAATCCATAGAATTAGGGGTGTAAACGGGCAGGTATGGGCCACCCATGGCCGTACCCGTTACTTGCCCGTTTATGGGTAAATGGGTGGCCACCCGCCTGTATCCGCTTATACCCGTTTGCACTCATTTTTAAATAGATGTAAACGGGTATTGGCAGGTCTGGGCCACCCGTTTATCCACAACACCCATTTTCTTTTAAAAAAAGAAATAATCAAAACATATGATTTTTATCCCACTAAAACTTAATATAAGTACTTAAGTAGTATCATTTTAAAAGTTTAAATCTCTGAATAATACAAGGACAAATATTTTAACAGCAAATACTAAATAAACAAGGATCAATAATTCTAATTTTTAAAGTGAAAACCCATTTAGTCCCATCGATCCTCATTTATCTTCTTCGGAGTCACTTGATATGGTAGAAGATTGAGCTATTGACTCTTCCTCTACAAGACAAATTAAGACAATTAGATTAGTAGATAATAATAAATATTATATAATATGGAGAATTAAAATGAATATAAATAAAATAAATTATTCATATTATTATTACCATCAACAGCATGTAAAGTCTCATCAAAATAGTCAATATCAATCTCTTCTAATGGGGTGTATGATATTGATGATAGCCAATTCTAGGTGCAAATGAGTGCCTTGGCCATTTTTGAAGATAAGGAACTCCTGAAAGTATCTAGTACTCGACCCCCAGTACTAAAAGCAGATTCTGAAGACACTGTGGAGACAGGCATAGCCAACAAATCACGTGTAATCAAGCTCATAACTTTATACTTGGAAGAATTCACTTTCCACTATGTCAAAATGTCAAAACTATCGTCACAAGCATCAACATAATTTGCATTTAGGTACTCTTCCACCTCTTAAATTAGTTTCTTTGGACGCTTACTCATTGCAGTGGCTAAAAATATTGCATTGCCACATCAATAATTTTTTTAAAGGATAGAGGAACTTGCTTCCCCCTACCACTGGCACTACTATCCCCCACCTCGATACCAATTTCAAATGGTTCACTACCACTAGCTGTAAGAGTTGCAGAGTACTCATCAAACAAGCGATGCAAAAGCCCCATAATCTTCTTTTTCATCATTTTTCTCTTCGTGTAATCACTAATAAAATGTTTAAAAGCAACTTTAACATAAGAAAATTTGTATTTAAGATCAAGAATCACAGCTATCACCAACAATGAATTTATATTTTCTGCCTTTTCCCAGTACTTGTCATACTTACTTTGCATCCTTTCTATCATGTTACTTAACAAAGAATTAGATTCAGTTGAAATTAAATCCAATCGTGTCTTGATTGCAACTATATTTTGAAAGCATGTGTTTGATTTGACATAATTTGATCTCGAAAATTGAAAAGTCATAGTATAAAACAACTTCAAAAAGGTGAGAAATTCCTTTGCCACACTCCAGTTATAGACATTAGGAGGTTTAACTGTACCTTCATCACCATCATGATCACCAAGTTCATCTTCATCCTCCTCTTCCATCCTATCAACATAGCTTGAGCTGGAAGATAGTTTAACTTTCTTTTTGAAGTAGTTCTTGTAATCTTGATCCTATCCTCCATTCTATCAAAGACCTTAGTGAACTTAATGGCATTCTGCAACATGATGTGTGTTGAATTCCACCTATTAAGATAAGCAAAAGATTTAAATGTTAGAAAAAATTGCAATCATAATGCAAACAATCATAATTTAACAATTATGTAAATTACCTGGTGGGACAATCCATATTAAGAAGACTCTTTGAATCAATTCTTAATTTTTCAACAAGCTCCTTAAATTTTTTAAGCTTACCAAGAAAAGATCTAACAAACTTGATTGCATGCTGAATAAATTTAATAGATTGATGCATATCTTTAAGGCCTTCTGAAACAATTAAATTCAAAATATAAGCAACACATCGCATTTGCAAGAATTCTTCATCACACACTAGACCTTCCAAATCCTTTAAACACTTTTTTAAAAACACAATAGCAGAATCATTAGAAGAAACATTATCAACTGTAATTGCAAATGCTTTCTCAATATCCCAATAGAATAAGCATCCCTCAATTTCATCTCCAATTGTATCCCCTTTATAGTTTTCGACCACACAAAAATTCAAAATTTGTTTTTGTAATGTCTATTCCTCATCAATCCAATGAGCTGTCAGAAACATGTAGTTAGAATTTTGAATTGAAGTCCAACAATCTGTGGTGAGTGACACACGAACTTTAGATTTCTTAAAATACCTTTTCAAATGTTTCGCTTCTTCTAAATATATCTTATAGCACAACTTAGCCATAATGGTGCGAGAGGGGCATGTAAATCTTGGTTCAAGTACTTCCAAATTTTTTTAAAACCTTGCCCTTCCACAACTTGAAATGGCATCTTATCCAAAATAATAAATTCAGCAATTGCTTTTTTGCACTGTTTTACATTATACAAGTGATGAGTGATTGATTTACCAAAGGAAGCAGAGAATAAGGACTGTCCCGCCTTGGCTTTGTTTGGATTCTTTGGGCAAGAATCAAAATGCCGCCAAAGGTTCTTAGTCACAATTTTAGAAGAATGGCCAGCAAAATCCTTTTCATAATAGTTGCATTTAGCTCGATACTCACCTTTTTTGTTTATAAACTTCTCAAAATGATTCCACATTTCAGATGTTGTGGTCCTTTTACATTTGGAGGGTGGTGCTTCTTCAGCTTGGGCAGGTTTAGACTCAATGGGTGCTGTGACGGTGGTGGTAGTTTTAGGTTCATGGTCCCTTTCCATAGCTTGCACATTTTTCATAGTAAATTTTAAAGTAAAAACTATATAACAACTAAAACAAACCAATCATAAACATATTTAATGTTAGGTGCAGAGCACATTAACAATCACACACAATACAAATACAATTACCAACAAGCCTTAAGAAATGGACAATGTCTTGTGGGAAAGACTAAAGAGTCTCTAGATCAAAATAACAAAAATGACAGACTTTAACATTAAAAAAAATGCCACCAACAGTAAATTAAAGCAAATGCAGAAGTTTGTTTATGAATTTTCAATAGACTAAATCTATCTAAGAATTTGCTTAAAATATAGAGTTTTGTTTGCTATCTGTGAGAATTATAGGCAGAGTAAAG